TACGTTGAAGGTACTCCTCAACGTGATTCCCCCGTATCTGCCGCCACACCTTGACCACAGTATTCCCTTCAGTTGGGTCCCTCAGAAGGCGCACAACATTCTTATCCACGCCACGTCTGTAAGTAGAATCATAAATATGTTGAGGTTGATTTGAGTTACTACTTTCAAAACTTTTAAATGCCCACATTGTGTTCAGTATATTACTCACTTGCTGGTGAGGATGGCAGGGAACTCAGCTTGATGAGCCTCACTAAGTTGAGATAAAATAGCGGGTTCTCTACTCTTTTGTTCAGGTTTTTCCTTTAATTTGTTCTCCATCTGTATTCATGTATGGATACCATTGTTCATGCTGTTGCAAAATTGCCCCTGAAGCGATATTAAAGCTTGACTCCACTCTACTCAGGTTGCCACTGTGCAGCACGGCCCTATCAGGTTTACTTGATAAGTGGCATTGCACGGTGGAACTCGGATGCCTTGTTTGGTGGTAAAGGACGGCACCACAGGACCTACTCAGCACCGCTGATTGACCGCCTCAACGCCCGCTGCCGGCAGCTGTTTAAAGAGACTGTGGAGGAGAATTTCCAGGCCCCTGAAGTTGTCCCTTCCAACGAGCTGCTCGGGTTGGAGTACCTGTTCAGCCAGAGCACAGCTGAATCTGGAACCTTCTCTCTTAGGGACATTGTCAACGATGGACCTGGTCCAGAGGAGGAGGTGGTTCAGCCTGGACAGCCCGATCCAGATCCAGAGGCAGACGAGGCTTACCTGAGTGACATGGAGGCACATGACGATGTTCTGGATGCCCTCCTGCACCACATTATGCTCAGCAGCGATGAAACCTCTACAGTTCACCCTCCAGCCTTAGTGAGTAACTGCGTGTCTGCTAGAATGAAATGCAATGCACTGGATGTTTGGCGGACAATATACACATTTGAACTTATAACATTTATGTGGCAATCTTTTAACAGGAGGATGTCTGCAGTCCAAACCCTCTTCCTGGCTTTCAAAAGCTGGAAATGTTCTGCTCTGTGGAGATTGGCCTGAGAGTGGACAAGCTGTCACTTACCACTGAGCAGAGGAACAAGGTCCTTGAAGTCTGGAATGCAGTGGAGGAGCATGACAAGCAGCCACAGCTGTCAGAACACAATGGGGCAACACCCTCTACTGCCGCACAAAAAGGGAGGATCTTGTCGATGCTGCTGTGATACAGAGGGTAAAAGTAGCCATGCGCTACGCACCGGCACAACAGGCTCAGGACAACAGACTGATGTACACACTGATGAAGCTGCTGTGGCTTCGCTCACCTCAAGGGTCTTGCAGCGGTCCTGAGAAAAGCGCTATCTTGAGGGCGTATAGGCGAGTCCAGCACCGGATTACGGTGGAGGATCCAGTCCTGTGCAAAGCAGGCGTTCCTCTTCAAAGAATCACCATCAAGACTGTGCGGGACTTCATCCGTCGCCAAGAGAGGCTCCTCAAACTGCATGCCACAAAACAGCCGTCCACTCGCACAAAGATCGCCTCCATTTCATCTGCAGACCTACCTCCAGCACCACACCAGCCAGCAGTCCTTCCTCCACCACTCTACCTCCAGATAGGGTATTTACATGCACCCAGCACGGCAGGTACAAAGGTGTTAAAGGGAAGGACAGACATAAGCATGCCACTAACCCAGCCTCAACCACCACTGCCACCTGTGCTTCTGCCAGCGAGGGAAATTCCTGCCGCCTCTACCATCACCAGACCAGTGCCCTCCCTCTCTGCATCCACAGCAAGCCCTAGGATTGCTGGCCCTTCCACACGACCCATAATAACTGCTAGTCAGACAACCCCTGGGATTGCTGGCCCTTCCACACGACCCATAATAACTGCTAGTCAGACAACCCCTGGGATTGCTGGCCCTTCCACACGAACCATAATGCTCTCTACCCGGACCAGTAGCTCATTGGACAGTACTGGCAGTCCTTCAGTCTGGTCAAGAGCTACCCTATACAAGTGTAAGGGGAAGGAATACTTCTCAAAAGTAGGAGCCAAACTGTCACAGGTGCAAAACCTCCCCATCTGTACACTGTGTGGCCAACCAACCCAGGGACATAAAAAATACAAAGACTTTGTGCCCGATAAAAATGATGTCGACATCAAAAGGTCTGGACAAGAGAGTGTACGGTAGCTACGAACACTTCACCTTTGTTGTTGACCAGTTGGAGGAATGAGCAATTATTATGTTCTTATAAATCTGTTAATGAGGTACGGTTGCATTGTACAAATTGTAAATAGTTTTCATTTTTATTACATTTCACTTTTAATCATACTCAATGGTACATTTTCAGTCTAAACCGCTGTGGTGTTGTTTGCAATTGATCCAATAAGTCTAGAGGAAAGATTCTTTATTTGTAAATTATTGCATCTCATTGGACAAATTAATAGTTCTAATTTTCATGTATATATTGTAAATAGTCTTCATTTTCGAAAAATTTGATTTGTAATCTTGTTAATTGATAGCTTATCTACACTGTTGTGCTGTTTCTTTTTCTAAATGTTCTCCATTTATATATATATATATATATATAAATCAAAATTTCAATGAAGTGGTCAGTGCTACAGTTACAGTGTGTTGTGGAATATCAATTAATGCAGCAATGGGGGTATATTTGTTTATCAACAAATAGGGACACAAATATAGAGTGCCAGATTACTTGCATGAATGATGTGCCTATAGTACAGTGGGGGACGGGCCAGACCATACTGAGATACATTGCTTTGCATCAAAACATAGATTTAAGTGCCAAACTGTGACAACACGTGATTAAACAAGTATTTAATACCTCATAAAATAATATCAGACTGTAAAATAACCATTCAGCAAGTGTGCTATGATATCAAGAATACTATTACTTTCTAGAATTGGAAAACTGCTGTTATGGAAATGAAAGGCTTGCTCTCTGGGGATAGGGAGTAGCATGTCCAAGGTAACTAACACCATTAACACCTCAGTCCTGCCCCTGACCTTTGCAGTTCTACACCTGTGTAGCTGTAGCTCATCATGGCTGTTGAGCTGCTTGTAGGTGCAAACACAGTTTCATGGTTTGGTTATTATGGACAGCCACCGGACAAAGTGAAAGGACAAGAAGAGGAGAGGAACAGTCTGAATTGGCTGCTTGGAAAAGACAGCTCAAAGATAATTCCTGCACTAATGTATACCAACATCTCAATATCGAGGGAACAGGTTCTACTGTGGAAGGTTGTGCACCTAGCCTTAAATTATTAAGTGGTACAGACTGACTCCTGGAGACGTCAACACAAGTCAGTATGGTTCCAAAGTTACTAAGTAAAAATGCATTTTAACCTTTAGGGACTGACTGGTACCAGGTGCATCAGCTAGTTTCATTTGTTCACAAGCTGTTGTGATCATTTTCCCAAGAGGCTTATAAATAAATGTTGTGTTAACAGTGTTATTTGCATATTGTATAAAAAGATTGCAGGTCCTGTGATTTGTGTAATGACTTGTATGATTTTCAGACAATATAGTGCCAGTGTTGAAAAGATTCACTGTAAAGCATTTACCAGGATGAGAGTCTTCCCAGGGAGATGCAACTAAATGGCCTGCTTGACGTGATAAGCGCCCAGAATTCACAGGCAAGTAGGAGGGAAGCCGTTTGTGTGACAATGTGCTGATGGTACTTATGTGTACATTTTGTTTTTTGCACGTTAATTTGAGACGGTACAGCCAAGAGAGAAATTATTTGTGCTAAAATACAACTGTATTGTGCAACTCTCACTGCATGAAATTTTGTTATAGGGTGTGAATGTGTTCTGCAGCAAATTCACTGCAAAAATCTTAGCGTATGAGTTTCTCTATTTGTGACTTGTAGAATAGGATTTCAGCACATGCAGTGAAGAATTTTAAAAGGTGTAACTGTTATTTGTGTAGGAGGAAAAACTAAGTGTTTGAAATTCCTAAAGTATTTTTCTCTGAGACTTCAAATTTACTGATACACGTGTGACTATGTTCTACAACTACAAATTCTACTCTCACATTTTGCTTTAATACCTTCATAGAATCCCAAAGAAAGTAAAAACATCTGGAACCTGGCGGGGGGAAGCTTTTAAAGTCTTTAAACTTGCTTTCAGTACATAAAACCTAATGTTCACAGGATTAGGTTGATCTCACAAATCCAGGATAATTCTTAAGGTTGTCTGTAAATGCTGCTGAATATCATTAAGGTTGCAGTCGCCAGAATGAAGCTAATCCACCTCAGAAAACAGAATTATTACAGAGTTATAGAGTTCTCCGGTAAATCATCACTAAATGGGTCTGGTAGTTGTGGAAACTAAAACTGTTTAACTTTGTACAAACATGTCTGGGAAAATATTCCCTGTGGGCCTACTGTCATTACCTAATTGGGGTAAAACAGAACCTTAAATCCTTTAACATATCAATTCATTAAGATAGTCATGTCAAGCATTTCTGGTGTTGATCAAGGAGTGTTCCTTGACTTCAGGGTGGAGGAAGTGAATTGGAGATGATGGTCAGATCTTGTGGTTGTCCGGGAGGAAGACCTTTGGGGATGGCGGGATGAAGCCACAGCCTCACGGTACAGCAACACACCACACCACACGCATGACATGCGGCTTCTTACTGCAAAGATGCAATTTAATCTTTCAGGAAATCTGTGGACCGTAAACCCACTCTTGGAGAGAATTTGTGCCAGATGTCTGCAACCACAGCTTTTCAGAATTAAAAAACACATTTTGAAATGTTTAAAATGTCAAAAAAAAACAAAAAAAAAACAAAACTCTGCTGTGCCTATTACATGTGTACTATTAACTATAGATTATTAGTGCCAGAGTGTACCCATTATTTGTAAACAGGCCATGTCTGTGGAATGTGTTATGATTAAGTAGTCGAATTCCAAATTTTTATATATATAATCTCAAACATTTGTTCTGATATAAACTGATCATCTTCGCCATCTTTACATATACATAACAGTCACTCAAAAGCCTTGTGTTTGCAAACTTTATTTTGGTTAGGGGGAATGTTTGTGCAAGACATTTTATTCCTGAAGGTTAGGCAAAACTGGAATATCACATTTTCACAAAGTAGAGAAAGTAAGCCCCCCTCCACCACCGTTCACAACATGATAGAGCTTTGATAATCAAAGACAATCATAGGAATTGGAGTAAAAATAAATCTAGAGAGAGTTGTTACATACCTGTACCCCGTTAAATATTGCCATCTGAGTCAACTAACATGAGCTACAATGTGCTTAAGTAGATTATATTCTCACAGTGCATACTGACATGTACTGTTTCTTAATACTACTATTGTGAGACACAACATATGTTTTGGTTAGAACATCAAAACTGGGGCGAACTGTGCAGACAGGAACCACTCCCTCTAGATTTTTTCATCTCTGTTCACATCTTTACACTTTTACTTCACAAGATTTTCTTTAACCATCCAAATGAGGGCAGCAGCTCTCCTTTATGTCGCCGGGTTGTTGCTTATTACAGTTAGAACACAAGTTCCCAATACAAGCTTGCCAAGGCGTTTGACCGGGGTGGTTACAGAGAGGGACGCTTGGTCACTTTGGTCAGTGAGTCAGCAGCAAACAGTTCACACATCCCGACAGTGTCTAGGAATCGTGGCACACTTCAGGACTTCAGTCCATGACACAGTATCAGTAGTTACACTAAGTAGCTTGGTCCCCCATCAGAGATTAACTTCGTGCACCTTGTCAGCGTGCACACCTGTGTGCAAGTACCCAAGCTTAACATACACACACACACACACACTCACTCAAGCACCCATTCACACATTTCTCCATACTAAGCCCAGTAGAGGCACTTCATATGAAACTGTAGAACCTGACTATGTCGGGCTGTAATGAGGCAGTTCAAAATAAACTGGGCAGACTTGTCAAACTGTTTAGTGTTGATTTAAAGTTAGGAAATCCAAATGGGCCTGGAAGGTGTCTGTCTTTAGGCCGCTATGTGTCAGATTCCTGAAAATCACTCTGCCACTTTGTATACTGGTTAGTTATTATACATTTAGAATAATCTCCAAATATGGCCGGTAGAATAGACCTTACCAAATTTACCAGCACTTGAGTGTTGCGCCCATCCTTAAATAGGAACTTACTTTCACTGATACAGCCCAAACATCATTACTATTCATACACACGCACACGAATCATACTAGTGTGTGTTAAGATTAAAGTCAATAGCAGCTTTAAGGGGCAGGCACATCAAAAATGAGAGCCATGAAAAAAAAAGAAAACTGCCATCAAGTATGAAGACCAAAAACCAGAAAAGCTACGGCTTGCGTCTCCGCTGTCTTTCTCTGAACGTATCATCTCGCCATTCTTTCTCCCTTTTGACCTGTCCTGTATTCTGAGAACGATTCAAAGAAGAAATGTTCAGCGCTGTGAAAGACGTCAGATTAAAGCATGGATACAAACCCCTTACTTGCCTCTGGAGTTCAGGCAATTCATTTTACACTGTCTGCGTCAATGTGTCATCTATGGCACCTAATGTGAAAAGACCTATGGCTTCAGGATGCAGTGGTCCAAAAAAAAAAATAAATTAACAAACTATATAAAGGATATTAAGTATAACAACTAAAACAGAGTTCAAATACTTTAACAGCTACAGCCCTGTTCTACATACCTATTCATTTGCTAAATACTATTCATATTTTACTCTTAAAATCATCTTAATTCCTTGATAGATAGGCAACATTTGAGACAGTAGGATAGGTGATTTATCAACAGGTATGAGTAGCATTATTACCTTTTTAATATTTCAATTTAAAGGCAATATCACCCATTCCCTGTGCCTATACATATTAACACTGCCCAATGATCTGACAGTACACAGTTTTAACAGATTTCAAATAAACCAGAGAAAATAATGAAGCCATACTTATTCCTGGCAAAGAAAGACGGTTAAGGTAAGTATTACGTAGAGGATAACTACTGTGACATTTAAGGCTTTTTCCAAAGGGCGTGAGGCTAGCAGGGCAATATATGACCAGATAACATCAACCCGAAAAAGGACGAGGAGGAGGAAATGGGTCCAGAGTTTCATGCTAGACACATCTAGCAAAACATAACCTGCATTAAATGTTCTTAACTTTTTTTCCTTTATAGGTAGCAGAAATACAACACAGGGTAAGGCCAGTGATTAGTAGATAACAGCCCACCACAAGCCACACAGATTATGTCCACACCACATCAGTTGACTTGCATTACAGTAGTAAAGTGGTGAGAAAACGTGTTGGAGGGAAATCTTCCCAGCTATTTAAAGTACTTGCACACTTGCAAGTGATCAATTTGCTTTTCACATGACGACATACATAGGCCATTTTAATATTAATGGGATGCCATTCTGTTTCACATTAGATATAGACAAATGGGGGCTAATGGAGTTTCTGCTCCTTTTGCCAAATGTTAAGCACAACATTTAACAAAAGGAATTTCTACAGTTCAAGTAGGACCATCTACAGAAATACAACAAAAACTGTTCATAACTTCAAAAGCAATTCTCGAAATATCACAACCAAGAGGGCACTTTCCAAATGTAAGAAAAACTACATGAATCTCAGAAATGGAGAATTTTACTGTTTTGCCAGTGCTGGCTTTATCTTATTTAACTCAAATTCCGCTTAACAGTAAAAGAGCCATTTTTGCGCACATACCATGCAAAAACGACAGACCCTTCGCAGTGCAGTTCAGAAGCCATGTTGTTTTCCTGATAGAGGACGTGTGGTTCTCACTTAGGCCTGTTAACAAGTGTACACCCCTCAACTCCTGGGACAAAAACCTTATCAACAGTCTTATTAATTGCATATACATGTAACCTTATTTAAATGGATCACAAAGAGGATAAATAATTGCAAATTAAACATTATACAAGGACATCCTAAATCTTGCCTTTGGGCAGTTGTAAGGCCACAAATGCTGAAAAGAGTTGAGTTGTTCCATGTCAACCGAGGAAAAGCACTGTGACAATCATATTCTCAGCTGCAAATTAATATTTTAAACACCATATATACATGAACAAAGAGCAGCACACCCATGCCAGTGATGAAAAGAGGAATTCTACTCAACAGTGGACAACAAATTTAAAAACCCTTCATCTGCAACAAAGGTACGACATGGCTTAAGACCTGAGGAATACTTTGAAACGTCACAACCTGGTGGGTCTACAAATCAAGCTCTGAAGCAATAAAATGTAATTGATCACTTGCAAGATCTTAAAGAATAAAACCACAGAAGCTGAGGAAAAACTCAAACACACCGGGGGTGGGGTGGGGGGTGGGGGGTCAGCACACGCTTTAACGGTAGCCTGGGTGATGAGTGTGGACACCTCCGCCATTGTTGGGGTCCTGAACTTGGCCCATGGCTGACCTGTGCATCTTCTCCATCACACCCATATTCTGCTCCTGAAAGTTGGGCATCTGGAAGTCCCCTCCTAAGAAATCCACATTCTGCATCAACTTCGACTGACCAGCAGGACCCTCTTTCCCTGGTCTGTACTTTGCCCCTGGGATGCGGTCTGTGGAGGCAGCAGCCTGTCCCCCCTGGAAAGCCACTGGGTGGTCCTGAGGGCCGGTTCCATTACCTGCTGTGGCTGGGATGTTTCCCCACGGTGGCTGCATGTAGTGGCCATTAATGTAAGGCATAGAACCTACTGGGCAGTTAACAGGGGAGGAGGGTCGTGGTTTTTCAGCAGGGTGTTTCAGAGCAAACGACTGTGCAGTGTTGGGTAGCTTGTGTGAATAGCTGAGGTTTCGAGATGGGAAAGCACACTCAGCTGGAGGCTCCATTCTTGGGTTCTTGCAGGGATGGGCCCCTTCAGGGGCCTGCTGCATGTGGGCCAGTTGATGTTCAGCCCAGGAGCGCTGCTGCTGCAGCTGCTGCAGTTGTTGTAAATGCTGCTGCTGCTGTAGCTGTTGCTGTTGTTTCTGCTGATGTAAATGGTGCTGAAGTTGCTGCTGCTGTTGCTGCAGTTGTACCTTCTCTGGGTCTGTGTGAAAGGCAGGTATACTATTAGTAGCCATTATATTGGGCTGTGACTGGAGAGCAGCACTGGGAGTCTGAGCTGTAGATTTGTCTAAGGGTCCCACCATGAGGCAGCTGGACACAGAGCCCAGACCCGGGTGGTGAGAGGACACCCTTGAGCTGGCGTTGATCAGCAGGTTGCGGCTGATGGGGCTGGGGTTTGCAATCTGACCCTCACAGACTGAGGTGGTGCCCATGCCAGCCCGTGCCTGGCACAACTGGTTTATTTGGTGCACAATGCTGCTCAGGTCACCAGTCCGGTTCTGGTGCAGGCTGGCTGCCATTGACAGTGGGATGGTGGAGGTAGATACAGTTACATTTGGTGGGGCATCTGCATCAGGGAGCTTCCTGGGCCCGTATGCCCCTGGAGGGGGCTGCTGGAGGCTATTCGGCATGGTAGAAGGTCCTGCACCCACAGCCTGGGGAAGGGGCTGTGAGGCAACTAGCCCATGGGTGTGCTGCAGGCTCGGAAGCTGAGCTGCATCGGACATGTGGCGCAGATCCTGAGTCACTCCTTGTTGTGTAAGTAAAGCTTGCGGAGGAGCCGTCTGATGCTTTAATGTCTGCATGTGAGACAGGTGCTGCTGTGGTACGACTGGTGGACAAGACTGGCTCGGTTGTTGCTGCAGGGCCTGGGGGTGAGGCACACTCTGCTGCCTCTGTATGCCTTGTGGGTGAGCCAACCTTTGCTGCTGTGAGGTCTGAACTTGGGACAAGCTCTGCTGCCGTTGCAGAGCTTGTGTATGAGCCATGTTCCTTTGCTGCAAAGCCTGTGGGTGAGGCATAGTTTGAGGCTGCTGTAAAGTCATTGGGTGAGTCATGCTTTGCTGTTGTTGTAGCGCCTGTGGGTGAACCATGCCCTGCTTCTGTGCAGCCTGGGCCACAGGCTGAGACGGGCCCTGTAGGTGAGGAGCCGGTTGAGGAAGATTTAAAGTGCTTTGAGTGGCATACGGCCCACTGTGAGGGTTCATGGCGGCCTTCTGAAGCTGTCGGGCGCGGCTACCGTCTAACTCTTTGATGACGCCTTTGGCAGGCGCACGGAGGACAGCCAGCAGGCCCCTACTGGAGCTGACCTGAGAGGGATAGGGACTGTGGCGCTGGCTGGACGAGGATGTGTCAAGCCCGTTGACTGTGCGGCGTATGTGCTTCCTTTGAGGTACTTTGACACTGTTGGGGAAGATCTGGATGGTCAGAGGGTTGTTGGCGACTTTCTTAGCATAGGCATCCAACTCTGCTGGGGTTGGATAGCTGGCAGATCTCATCTTCTGTGTAGTTTCCCCTGCAATGTGTATAAGGTCAGACAACCAGAAATGCACTGCCTAGGATTTGATGACACATCACTAAATACTGAAATGTACTGCAACACTACACTGGATGACAATAAGCAATGTTGAAATAAAATGTACTGCATGAGCGCCATTGTAGCTTTATCTGCTACAGCTCTCTATAACATATAATGTAGCCATTGAAGCTAGCTTGCCATTTTTCGGGCAACAAAAACTCACTTTGCCTCCATTAAATGCATTGTCCTCTTAATAGTGTGCTGGAGTGAAAAGCTGGCACAACAGTCACTTCTTTTAGCTGCAAATAAAGTGTTCAGCTGTTCAGCTCCCACTATAAAAAACAGAATCATTCAGCCATCATTTCACCTATTTACCTTGCGGGTAGAGTTTGTTTATCACATTTCATGCTGTCTACACTTAACTGAGAATTTCCTTGATTCAAATTATGGATAAATAATGTTGCAAACCTCACGCTGTGTATACAATTCCAAGATCAACACATTGTCTGATCACTAATGCTGATGATAGTAATTTCAAAAGGAAATACAACCATGACACGGTGGAAGAAGCACTTACATTTCTGAAGTCCAGTGTTCATCTGCGTGCGGGAGAGAAGTCTGATGGTAGGGTCACCTGATGCCGGCAGACAGGCCAGCATGTCACTATTCCACTAATGCAGCATGGGACACCTTCTCCTCACCATACTGGGGGAGAAACAGGCACAAGTCAGCTGCTGACAGTCACTTACGGTGGTGTGAAATGACTTTGCTGTTGCCAATTTTCACACCCAGTACAGACTGACCTTTTGCAAATGGCAACTTGTAATAAACTGACATCATGGCTCTGTAAAAGCTCGCTGCATACACCCTGCAGCTAGCTAAGAGCTGAGATGGAAAAATGGTTTCTTTTTTTTCCTTGAACAAAACGGCACACAGCATGATGGCAGGCTGCAAGCCAAACAGACGGTTTCTTGATACAGTCAAAACAAAAGCACAATTTCCAATGCGGAAGATGTTTCAGTAGGTTATATTATGAAAAGCTCGATACCCAAATCAAAAGCGAAGCAGTGGTCACGAATCTGGGGTAGGCAACGTTGGGAGAAACTAGCAAGAGACTATTAAAAGAATCCAGGTAGTTAGGCCAGACAGTCATTTTATTCAGCCCATGCTTATTACAGCAATGCAACACCCACAGATAGCAGATTTTTCTGAGCATTTAATTTATTGATTGCCTTCGGGCTATGAAGAGAATTTCAACAAAAAATGCTTCTGAAATAAAATGCCTGCCCGAGCTTTAATGTAGAAAAGCCAGTGGTCTTGTTGAACAAAGAAGTGCCGTATGTGTCCGAGACAGCACTTTAACTCACAAATAAGTTTAGTCCAAAAGCCTTTTAGAAGTTAAAAAGATTGCACCATCATTAGAAGTCACCTTTAGGTATTTCAACAGTGATTGTTAACTAGTGATGAATCATATCAGTCGATGCTGAATCTGCAAGATGACGCCTCAAACCTTAAGTAAACCCAATTACTTTTCATACTTGCATTAGGTGCCCCTGTCTATGCTGAAATTTTTATAAATGCCAAAAACATTTAATAAATGGAGAGGTTAACATTTTTCAAGTCTTAAAATGATACTCATGTTCCCATATGTGGGAATTAATAACAGTTTTTGTTTCATTCTTCCTGTGCTTCCAGTGGAAGAGACAGGGGACAAAATCCATAACAGGGTCTGCAACTAACAAATCGGCCAGTTATTTTCACAAGAAATTGATTAATCGTCAATCAAATGTCAGAAAACAGTGCCATTTACAATCTCCTTAACCTCAAGGTGACGTTATCAAAAGTCTTGTTTTGTCCTAATAACGCTCCAAAACCCAAAGATAATCAATTTATTATCACAAAAGCCGCTTATCATATCGCAGAAGCTAGAACGAGGGGGTGTTTGGTATTTTTGCTTGAAAAATTACTGACCCGATTGATCGATCATCAAAATAAATGTTCTAGTGAATTAACCAGCTCAAACAATTGGTTAGGCTTAAATGAGAGGAATTAACACAAAAGAGCAGCGCTGACAGCGAGGACATTTTTAAGCAATAATCCATGTCTCCATTAGCCAATACCAGCGTGTCAGATTAATGGAAAATTAAAATAATCAGTGGCTGCAGCCAATGTAGACCCTAATGTAGATTTTGCTCCACATCTCTTTCATGGGAAAAACATTAGGTGAGGAATCTCTCGTTTCCTTTTGGGTTAGTCACACATCATTTTGCAGACTCATCACAGATTTGCAGACAGTTCATGATTCATCACTTGTTCACTTCCACTGACTTGTTACAGCGGCACAATGATAGAATCCCTTGGGAGGGAAAAAAGGTTTTAGATTAAATGAATTCCTGAGATAAATGTCTTGGATTTTCTACTTGATCTAAATGGATTTGGCTACAAAACTAATGCTTTTTTGCGGACTTGGGTCAACCCTTTCCGTCCTCTGTATCCCTCAGGATGACGCAGTGGAGTGACTGTTGGGAAATGAGGATCTTCATTAACACAGACTGGATTATGTGACCTTTTCTGCTAGAGCTGCAATGATTAGTGGATTAATCAATTAGCTGTCAACTATTAAATGAATCAGCAACTATTTTGATAACCGATTACTTGTTCTGAGTAATTTTTAATAAAAATGTGCAAATGCTCTGATTTCTTTTCCTCCTCTGTGACAGTAAACTGAACATACTTGGGCTGTGGACCAAACAGGACATTTGAGGACGTCACGTTTAAACCATTTTCTGACATGTTACAGACTAAACAACTAATCGATTAATCGTGAAAATGCTCGACAGATTAATGGATAATGAAACTAAACGTTTAGTTGCAGCCTTATTTTCTACAAGCACGGGTCACACGTACCGTGCTGGGCTGTGGCATCCTCCTCAGCTAACGCCTACGTTAACCTTTGTCAGATTATACGCCGAATTACATATTTAATCACTTTATAGTGGGTTAAATTAAAATTACAGACCGCTAGGTAACGTTAGCCATCTGTCTAGCAATGCAGCCTTAATCTGATGTAAATTTAATACAGATTACTACCGATCTAATAATGTAGCTGGATTATCTCAGCATGCAAACGAAAACTGGACTCACTGCAGGGCCACGATATCTCCCTTTTAGTGAAAGTATAAAAAGGTGGATTTACATCTTTCAGTAGTTTCCCTCGAGTCAAGCACCACAACAAATAAGGATCTTCTTTGTGCTTATTGTGACGAGGCCAGCTGGTTAGCAAACTTTAGCTTTTCATTGACGAGAAAAACCGACGCGAGCCGAGTTAAAGAGGGCAATACTTACTCCTCACGAATCTACGAGTAAGGAAACTTCATTTTGTGGAGATATACCGTTGATATTGGTTTTAAAGAATGACCATCCCCGGTGTGTTGGTTGTCCGTGCTCCTGTCCGGCTACGGCAGCAACATTTATCGAGCATGCGCAAAGAGAAAAGGACCCTGGTTCTGCGTTTAGGTGTCAATTGCAAACGCCAGGGCTTCAGAAGCGGATTAAGATTTTACAAAGATATATAACGTTATCCTTGCAATGAATTTATTATTAAGTTTAGACCTGATGTCTCCCCCTTTATGTTCTTTTCATAAATCATATATCAATAACATCTTGTTCTCATTGTCCCAAGTGTCGTCTTATTTGTGAATGTTGAATCTATGAACTGTAATATTTTTGGATTTGGTTAAATTATGTCTTCTGGGTAAATATCATATTCATAAAGCAAAATGCATTCAGTTTCTTCCTAACAGACAATTATTTTACATTGACCTTTTAAAAACCTATATTTTCATATTGGCAGTTTAAAAAAAACATAGCTTTAAAGAAATCCAACATTTTGAAACATGTTATAGACAGAATTTAACTATTTATTTGTTTATTTATGTTTGTTTTCTCATTTGTATATTTCCATATAGCCTGTGCTCCCCATAGACTGTAGGTACTCCCTGTAATCTTGTCTGTTAATATACTACTGTATTAATAAAGTCTTGGGAGCAAAATAAACCTGTACTAAAGCCATGACTAAAGTTAAAGGGCGTGGACAATGGTGGTTAAAACGATTCTCATATTCCCATATGTAAATTTGGGAATAAATGTTTTTGCTTCATTCTTCTTCCTGTGCTTTCAAGGATAATTGAATTGACAATTAAATCCATCAATTATTTTCACAGTTAATTAATAAATGGTCAATAAAATGTGCCATTTATAATCTCCTTAAGCTCAATATGACTTATATAAAGTCTTGTTTTGTACAAACGATTGTCCAAAACCCCAAAGTTAATAAATTTACTATCACATAAGCAGGATATCATCACAACTGGGACCAAGTGAAAGATTAGCACAACAAAATACTCAATTACACGTAAAAAGTCAGCATTCAAATTTTTACTACTTACGAGTAGTAAGTAGTAGTAATTGAGTAAATTGTCAAAATAATTTCACCACCTGGTAAAGGTTTGATTTCAGAAGTGTAGGGGACACAATGAGGTTCTTCCACCAGACAACACTAAGTGAATGCAACTATTTACATACATATTATAATGAAACTGGTCTTTACGACTTCCCTAAATTTAAAATCAATTATATAATGGCTTAAATAATTGATATGAAACTGACACCACCAAGACCCACAAAAATATAAACGAAACTTGCAAAGAGATTGACTATTGACTTAACATCTTCGAGTGGCCTTTTATTGTGGACAGCCTGAGGCACACCTGTGCAATCCCCATGCTGTCTGATCAGCATCTTGATATGCCACACCTGTGAGGTGGATGGATTATCTCAGCAAAGGAGAAGTGCTCACTGACACAGATTTTTGTGTACAAAGAGAAAGTCTTAGATCTTTGAGTTCAGCAAAAACAAGTGTTGCATTTATAAATTTCTTCAGTGTATATATCCTATATAGATTTAAACCCCTTAATATAATTTTGCATGTATGTTTGTTCTGTTGTCCATCAGCATACAGAAGCCAAATCAGGAGTCAGTGAAAAAATAATAAACATGTCTTAAAAATAAACATTATATATATATATATATATATAATATTAAATAGCAATAAATTAATAAATTATGGCATTTTTATTTATTAGAATGACAATTAGCTAAGAGTTAACTGATTAGTACAGACAGATGACATGCAGCAAGAGCATACAGGAACTCATGGCCATTTGAGACACACAGTGTTATGTGTTGTAAATAAGAATCCAACACAAACATGTCATATTTACACTGGACATGTGTAAAGCTAAACAAATCAATATGGTCACAGTATTTTGTCAAGTCACAACATCAGCAAAGAATGATACAAACATAAATCAACTGAGGATGAGACAAACAGTCTTCTACTGACAAACAGGTTCTGGCTCAGCGGATGACATATTTCATAGGAGGGGTCAACCGTTTCTGTCCAATAATATATTGTACCCGTCCACCACCCCCAGTGTGTACTGTACTGGAGCTTAACATTTGGTGCATTAGACGCCAAAACAACAAAGCATTGCGACCATTTACAAACAGCAATATTAATGATTAAAACTTTAACTTTGATAAGTTAAATAACTCTGCTAGAAGATAATTTTACATTTGATGTCACAGTTATTAAAACAAACAAAGCACGACATGTACAAACATTGAACAGAAAGTTCTGTGTTTCTCTGAAAAGTGTAAAAGTTTGGTTTGTTGACACTCTGTCAAACATGGCTTAGCATCTACAGATATTTGTAGTATGAAATTTAAACATCAGATAAACTATGCAGTATCCCAAATCCTTCTGCTACAAAAAATAATTAAAGGACGATCTAATCTATTTGACCTCACTGTGTTTTGGCCTTGTGTGCCACAATAAAACACCTCACACAACTCCAAGCCAGTCGTTTTAACAATTACAATTTAGTCTTTTCATCTATTGATGGCGTGACACCAACAGTTTGTTTCCAAACTTAATCAAGTTCTAAACTAATAACATCTTACATTAAAACCCTAAACTAAATCCTAAAAAAGGACCACATCACAAGCTAACCATATCAGTACACGATCAGAATTTGCTTCCTGTTTTCCTGCCAGCATATAAATAAAAAGCATATATCTCATGCCTGTTGTCAACAGTTTGTGGAGAGTGAAACTTCTTTTAGAGGAACAGACAATATTTACACAATCAAAGGGGCTTATTTTGACATTGTGAGCACCTGTTACAGCGTAAAACTCAATCACTGAGACATAAATTAACCTGAATAACATTTGGTAGTTATAAATTACAACATGTGATTTACAAAGAACGTTCTACAGTAAATTTAGATGATCTAGGTTATGCAGACGTGTCTAACAATATAGAAAGACATAAATCAACAAAAGGCCTGCAACATATGGAATATAAAAAGTGAGAGCCTTGTTGTTTGAAAAAGCAGGACCTAAATGTATAAATATCAAAAAATAGGAGTTAACATCACACCAGTCGACTATCGGCTCTCCTTTTCAATGACATTTCATACAAATGGGCCAATATACGATTCAAACAAAACAAAACACAACACAAAATGTTCCCATGTTAAAACTAAATAAAAAAAATCTCTGAATGAGCAGCAGTGCATGCAGATATTCTGGTCCTGTATAAAGTAAGGCACCAGAGGTTTCCAAAATTCACTTGTATACAGTAGATACGTATAAAACAACAAAATTCTTCAAGTGTATTAAAGGCAGTCTGTCAGAGTGCATACAACAACAAGTCATGTGAAGTCGTCGGCTTTCAGGCGTGAGTACTGGTCAAACCCTGTAGCAACGGCATCTGTAGAAAAAGAATAGATTATTAAAACTCTGAGGCTTTGAGACAAAAACCCCCATGAAGGAGGAGTTCAACTGTTGCGATAATCATTTCAGTGCACAACAGCTGTGTTTGATTTGACACAACAAAACCCCGTGCCTCAAAATTCACACACTATGTAAGTACACAGTGTACACAGTGTACTGCTTGTAAGTGTACTAACAGAAGTATCTGAACAGAGATACAGCACTGCCTTTTCACCAATAAATCCATATTATCACATCTGATTCAATATCCTAATCCCTCGTGCATTTAATACCTTTAGTAAAACTACACACACATTTACAATTCTATTGTGTCGCTAATCTTTATGATAAAGCATGCTTACCTTTGACAAATCCAGTCCAGCAAGAGCATTGACTGACACAGGAAGTTCAGCCAAAAGGCGGTTCACCTCGCCGGTCACGCGGCTGCCCTGCCCACTGAGGATGACTATCTCATTGGTCTTGGCTAAGGGCGCCGCAACCTTGGAAGCAATCTGCAAAGATACAGTCGAGTGTTTACTGTAAGCAGGAAACAATCAAAATCCACCACATTAAGTTATCAGAGACCATGTGATACATAATGCAGTCATAGTTCCATGACTTATGAAGCATCAAGATGAAGCAATTGTGGCGTAAGACTGTTGTTTTCCCATCACTTTGGCCGTGGTTTCATATCCCACTGCCTTGAAAAATACATCTGACGTCTTGTGTTCAGTTTTGAATTTGGGTTAGAGGCTAAATCTTGCTGCTATTAAAATGTTTGGAAATGAGCATGTGTTGGGATTAAACAAACAACATATAAGAAAAGATTTATAGATACTGGTAAGCCGATTTAGTAAATTTAGACACAGCCAGGTGCTAAGCTGTGTCTCAGTAACTCATAATACGAACAGATATGAGAATAGTATTGATCTTGCAGTGCATTTCAGAATGGTCAAGTAAAGGCTACTCACGAGCTTCTCAGGTGTTTTGCTACTAATGCTCGTCTCTTTTCTACCGTTGACTCTGACATTTATGTATGTATGTATATTTATAGCTATGGCAAACCATCAAATCACAAACAACACCCAGATAGCACACACAAGTATTGCCGACGTCTGCCTGAGATCATACGTCTGTATTATATTTTTAGCTCGGAAATAGCAACTGGTGTGCAGCTGTGTGTTTACAGCAAACAGCTGATTGAGGTAAGCTATATACTGGGTCCCGAGTTGTAAAGCAGAAGTAGGTCTCCTCCTCTCCAAAACAAACAGACCAGCTTATTTCAACATGTAATAAATCTTTTCATGTGACAACACTGAAGAAATGACACTTTGCTATAACGTAAAGTAGTGAATGTACAGCTTGTATAACAGTGTAAATTGGCTGTCCCCTCAAAATTACACATCACACAGCCATTAATGTCTAAACCGCTGGCAACAAAAGTGAAAATGTCCAAATTGGGCCCAACGTGTCAATATTTTGTGTGGCCACCATTATTCTCCAGCACTGCCAGTTCAGCAGAGCTTCACAGGTTGCCACTGGAGTCCTCTTCCACTCCTCCATGACGATAACAGAGCTGGTGGATGTTAGAGACCTAGCGCTCCTCCACCTTCTGTTTTGAGGATGCCTAGAGACATGTTTGGCACGTCCATCACCTTCACCCTCAGCTTCGTTAGCAAGGCAGTGGTTGTCTTGGAGGTGTTTTTGGGGTCGTTCTCATGTTGGACTACTGCCCTGCGGCCCAGTCTCTGAAGGGAGGGCATCACGCTCTGCTTCAGTAGGTCATTGTACATGTTGGCATTCATGGTTCCCTCAATGAACTGTAGCTCCCCAGTGCTGGCAGCTCTCATGCAGCCCCAGACCAGGACACTCCCACCACCATGTTTGACTGTAGGCAAGACACACTTGTCTTTGTACTCCTCACCTTTATGTAGCGCAACAATTCTTTTTTTCAGATCCTCAGAGAGTTATTTGGTATGAGGTGCCATGTTAAACTTCCAGTGACCAGTATGAGAGCGATAACACCAAATTTAACACCCCTGCTCCCCATTCACACCTGAGACCTTGTAACACTAACGAGTCACATGACACCGGGGAGGGAAAATGGCTAATTGGGCCCAATTTGGACATTTTCACTTAGGGGTGTACTCACTTTTGTTGCCAGATGTTTAGACATTAATGGCTGTGTGATGTGTTGTTTTGAGGGGACAGCAAATTTACACAGTTATATAAGCTGCACATTCACTGCTTTACAATATAGCAAATGTAGTGCAAATATATAATCAAATATTTACAAAGAGGTGAGGGATGTACTCACTTTTGTGAGATACTGTACATTTTGCTCGTGGATAGGGACATTACTAAATAATGATGCCTTTCTGTCAGAGTAATAATAATTTGCCTAATCTTCGCGAGTGCACGGTGGAAACATACAATGGGCTGAAGGAACCGTTTAGTTCCTTGAAAACTAGATCCTGGGACTAAAAGTAAACTGTGCTTCTGGTGGAAACGTGGCTATAAAATGCTTCCTAGTGTAGGAATCATGCACTAACCTAGCACTGGCTCATGCTTGTAGTAAAAAGCATTATACAATAACAATCCAGCAAACTCTAAATGAAAGAGTTCTTACAAACTACAGGAGAAGCTGGATGTGCATTATGGAGCTAATCTTTGTTTTACCTTAGGCAGAGCTTCGAGGACCAGGGCAGTCTTGGCTGCCTCTCCGTACTGCTGGTAGGCCTCAGCCTTCAGTCTCATCTTCTCAGCCTCCGCCCTGCCCACTGCTTCGATGGAGCAAGCCTCCGCCTCACCAATCTTCCTGATCTTCTCTGCCTCAGCCTGGGCAATCAGCACCGTCCTCACCCTGATGCACAGGAAACACACAAGTTAAAAAACTGATATTTGATTCGTTCATCAATAACACATTATGCTGCCTTGCTCTCAGGGCTCGAAACTAACTGCGAACTGTCGTCCTGGGGATGAGAGAGAAATATTCTGTAGGACGCCTCTGGGACAAAAGGGATTGTGTGTTTATTTATCACTATCACTTAGCAAATGACAAACTAAACCGATCGAGCGCACACTACAACGGAGGCTGTCTTCCAACGCTGCTACTATAGTCACGCCGGACTCACACAGGAGGCTGGCTGCTCAAGGTTCCTGATTTCTGCCTGATCACAAGTGATGGTTTCAGTTTCTACCTCCGATGAAGTGCAATGAACTTGTCTCATTCGGTACAGTCTGAAGGGGAGCACAGCAGAGTATAGGCCATGGTAGAAAAAAATATTATGAATTCTCATTAAATAATGATGTTAGTCTCATAATATTACGATTTTCTTCTAGACATATAAGAGAACAAAGGGATGTGGGAGAGAAAGTCCAGGAGTTTATACCTGAACTGAAATACTTTCCTAAATACTAAATACTTTCTCATCAAGGTAAAAAGGTGCCCCAACAGATAACTTTTCAGTTTTGTTTATAAATCTTTGTTTGAATCAAGCAAAATAAATTTTATCAATTTATAATGTATTATGTCACTAACAACTATAGGAGGATAATAAAGTAAAGAAAAACATTTTGATTTTGGGACGCTTTACATTAACTTCAGGACGGTTCTGGGTCTGCAGCCCTGCTAGCTCTACATGACTTCTAATCATGCAACATTTCCAAATCATCTCATGTCTGATGGCATAACTTAAGGCATCCCACAGACATCTTTAAAAACATTTACGTGCCGGAAATTTGGCCCAAAGTGCAACAAAATAATGTAAGTGTTTAGCATAATGAAGCCCGCATGACCACAGCACATGGAAATGTTGTATGGTGAGAACTCTGTGTTTAGTAAGGACGCAGGGTGGATAGACGGGTTTCAAGCCTGCGTGACAGATAACCACCCCCCCTTACGCAAGTCAATACACCTCTACCAGAAGTACATAAGGGTGTTGCTCTGCTGCCCTCACTGTAGAGGCGAATAAAAACTGAATAACCACAAACATGGTAGGTAAAAGAGAATTTACTGCCCTGAAGTGTGAAACTTTAAACCTTTAAAAAAAAAAAAAAAACCTTTCAATATTCAATATGTCCTTTTCCTACATTTTTGACCTGTCAACAGGAATGTATTAAGAGCGTTTAGCCTGAAACCAAACAGCCCTTAACTGTGCAAACGCTAACTGTTTGTCACCTAAAGAAACAAATCCTTAGTAAATATCCCTCTGCATGTCTTGGAGTGGGAACTCCCAGTCAGCTGGTACTTCAACAACCAGATTCTCCACCTGCTCATAAAAGGAGGCCGCTGCCACGAGTAAATCCTGTTCAACACGGCATGACGGCTATGAAGCTTACGAATGCAAACAACAAAGCTGCAATATTGCTAGTGGAGTGTTTTGCATTTTGTACGTGACCTCTTAACCAGATATTTCAGATCTACACTCTAATTAGCTGCGTCATTTCTTTTAACTACAGGTGTCCGTGCCTCAAGAGGAGAAGAGGAGTGTCGACTGTGCCTAACTCTCATGTTAGTTCTCTTGCAGTTTCTACTGATTGGTGATACTGGTGTAAAAAAATAAATACAAAACGCTGATAAAACTGGCTGAATGCCCCTTTAACTGATGTGTTGTCACTCACTTATGCCCCTCAGCCAGCTGTTGCATTTTGTAGGCCTCGGCCTCAGCGGGCCTCTTGACAGTGGCAATGAGCTCCTTGTCTGTCCGGTCAATCTCCTTCTCCTCAATGGTGATCTCTTTCTTCCTCTGCACCACCTCGATCTCAATCTCCTCCAGACGGATCTTTTGCTGCTCCTTGGCGGCCTGCAGCTCATACGCCAGCTGGGCCTCTGCTTTCTGAAAACATCAGCACACAGACAGTCACATTTCTAAAGAACACAATGCTTCTTATGACTGGCCTACTGTCGGACCACTGCTTCTAGCCAAACATCTAACTGATCACCTTGACCATTAAGTGCAAAATAAAACCTCAGGCGCCCACCTTAGTGTTGACTTCCTGGTTGAAAGAAGCTTTCTGCAGCTCCAGTTCTCGTTTGGAGTCAGCCATCTTAGTGTCAGCCTGGAATTTGACGTCCATCATCTCTTTCTTACATTCTGCTTCCTGGGAGACGATAAAGAAGTAAAAGCACTTCACTTGATTGTTCTGCACATCAGAATCAACTCCTCAGAGTCTTCTAGAGCCTCCTTACCCGTATCCCAGCATCCCTCTCTGCCTCAGCCACGCCGATGTCTGCATCCCTCTGGACAGCTGCAGTCTGGGTCTTCCCGAGGGAACTCAGATAATCGAGTTTGTCATAAACATCCTGCAAGCACAGACAGAGAACAGGTGAACCGATGAGCAAAGAGCTCAGCTTCCTGTAAACACTGAAGTAAAATAAAGTATAAAGTAAATAAAGTAAAGTCTGAGGAGTGAGCATTTGATTTGATTTGCAGTGAGCATTTTGACATGATCTGTTGACAAAGTTGTCTGATTAGTGACAAGGTCTCAGCTGCATTCAACAATAACATAAGAAACTATCCAACATGATAGTTTTTACGAATAATATCTACACAGAGAGACAAACTGCCATCAGTATTTTGTGTCAGTTATCAAAAGACAAACCACAAATGTCTGTGGCCTCCACTAATGAACTAACAGATCCTGACGCATCACAGAAACCATCTCCACCCGGACTAATTGATGTGATAGAAATGGACTCTGGGCTTCCAGCAAAGCACTATGATCAGCCACTGCACCACATTTCAATTAGCTCTGATCAACAACAGTAAACTCTTTAGGGGGAGTCTCCTGCCAGTCAGTTATTAGACCGATGAAATCCATGGGATGACTTCTCTAATGAGCCGCAGCCCCGACCGTATTTAAAAACATTTTCAATAAATACACGACACATTAGGGTTTAAAGTCATGTTCAAAGACAAAACTACACAGATTTAAAAAAAGACACAAGACTGTTTTTGAACATATGTTGGGCTCTCAATGGTAGTCGCACAGAAATGGACACAACAGAGCGCTCACAATCATGATGATGCACTTCTGAGCTGAAAGTGTGTGTGCATTAGACTCGACAAACAGAGATCTCAACTTCTAATTAGTTCCAGTGGGATAATTTTCCCACTCCAGAAGAAGTGGAAAGATGGATTTTACTGCAGAGCCACTGAAGATTTCAGGCAAGTGATCATTATGTGAAGCAGGAGATTCAGGAAAGTATACCGGTCGTGGATTATTAGTCACTAGGGATGTGTCGGTATCAAATGTTTCACATTTTTGTTGCCCAACATATCATGGTAAAACAGTATTATAATGTTATTCATTAAACATTCTGAAATACTATTATAAAAGCTAACACAACAACATGTTTGAGCGTATAAGACCAAATAAAAACCATCTGTCGGTTTGCTGGACTCCACATAACTATAAATCACCAGCAGGACAGTTTTTTAGGGACAAATTTAAGGACAGTTAACTTGAAATTGATTTGAATTATTGTTTGTGTCTTTCAGATCTTCTGCATAAATTCAAGTTTCCACAGATGATCTAACAAAAGAAATTTTGTCAGTCACATGAAATGCTTGATGTCTCCCTCACTTAATGTTACAACTCCCACAGCACCCTCAAACAAGCTCATGTATACAGTTGCTGAGCCTAAATCAGACTTACTGTACCTGTGGTCTTTAACAAACTAATGCTATACATTTTATTTATACCTGATGCCTATTATGTTCTTTCAGTAAAAAACATATCTATTCATGTTTTTGTATTATCCACAGTCTATAACACCCTGATGCTGCGTCAGATCTATTTTGAGTGTTGGAGCAGCAGTAATCATCAGGCACAAGGTGTTTTTAACTGTATTTCATACTCAGAAGGTAGAGTTTAGTTTGGAAAATTAATGTTGTTTCTATCTTTTGCTGTGTGGCAAATTTACTCTGTGAACTGACTGACCCATTAGTTCTGGGGGTTTTCACAGTCAGAAATAAGCATCAACATTTCCCCAGAAATGTGTTAAATCATTTATGCTCCTGATCAGTGTGGTCTAAACACTGTCATCTTTGGCAAAATATAGCAAAACACACATCTAGCTTCTATCTTTACACTCACACATGCTGAGCAGGCACGTGTACTGTTTTGTTCTTGGATCAAAACTGCAGGTCTATTTCAACACGAGCTGATTTCTCTTCCTGTTAGACAGAATGTCATTTTTAAAATGCTGCCTTGTATTATTTTGACCCTTCTTTGCTCAGTAGCTACATTAGCATTTTCTTCAGGTATTCTTGTCATTGCACTTCCTTGCTGCTGTTAGAGCATCAGGTTTTATTCCCAAAGCCTCTCACAGCAACTTCAACCCACCTTTATGGTAAAGCTGAGTATCTCGATGCCCATTCTGCCCACGTCGGGAGCTGCTACCTCCCTCACCAGTTTGGCAAACTGGTCCCTATCCTGATAGATCTGCTCTACAGTCAAGGTACCTGTAAAAGAGAGAAGTTGTCAATATCTCCGTACCACATGTCCATGCATACCTTGCAATTGGAAATGTCACTTTTCTTAAACTAGCAGCAGCCTTATTTCAACTGGAGTGTTGTGCATTTTTATTTTCTGCCATGACAAACTAATCTAGAGCTAAGATGATTTGCTGTTTATCTAGAGCTAAGATGATTTGCTGTTTATCAAATTCGTCAATCGACAGAAAACTACTGCAACTATTTTGATAATAAATCAATTTCAAGCAAAACGATTCAAGCCTCTTTCTTGTGACAGTTTTGGACTGCTGGTCAGACAAAAGAAGAAATGTGAAAACATCACCTTGGACTCTGTGATGGACATTTTGAAAAACTGCTTGAGAAAATAACTCACAGATTAATTAAAAAATAAAATTACTGTTGCAGGCCTAATCCAATCCAGTAAATAATTTACCCTGACATGTCACAAAGCAAATTCAGGTGTACTAATTTTCACAAACACATGTGAAATGAATGTCCATACCTAGAATGGAGCGCAGATGTCCCTCCAAAGTCTGCAGAACTACAGCTTTGATTTCCATGACTGATTTACCCAGGAACTGCTCACAGGCCACAGCCAGCAAGTCCTGCTCTGTCATGACTTTCACCTAAAGAGGATGTGACGTGGCCAGTGTTATATTCTCTGTTCCACTAAACAAGTGTTAAACATTTAAACAGTAATGAAATACATCAGTAAAAAGGACATATTTTGGCTTTGTGACATTATTGCATAAGAAAAATCTATGAGCAGTGTTATATATTTTGCTTTCTCATAAAAAAGGGCTGGGTATTATTTGAGTTTTTTTTTTTTTACACTAGTGCAGAAACATTTCCTGAGTTTAGTAATAAAAGCTAAATGTAGTTTTTGACATCTTACTTAATAAACATAAAACATGTCTTTCTACCACTGTTTTAATTTAACAAAAGAAGCCACAGTTTTCACTTGTTAAATGTCGTCTCAACTAAAGCAGCAGTACAACAACTCTGCCTAAATCAAAAAACTCTGAACAGGTTTTATTTAGATCAGGAACTATCGGATCAAAGAATAAGTTAACAAGAAAAACAGCTTGACCATTTGTCAGATTTTGATATTCTGGTGCTAGGGGACACATTTCAGTAAGTAACAGAAGTAATGAGGATGAACATGCAGCTGAGGCCTGGCCCATGTGGAAACACTGGGATGTGGCCTTACCTGAGCCACCCCTGTGACAGTGATGGCTACCCCCTCTGCTGTCTCCACATCCTCACATCGGGGCTGCAGAGTCATGATCTCCAGGGTTATCCTGCAGCAAGGAACAAAAGCACATTTATTATTAGGCCATGAGGAGACAAATACGATGTAATAAGAGCAAGATGTGGAATAAAGAAATAAAATCTGTAGATGTTCAATACTGTTTTATTGTCAGGGCACAGAAAATAGTTGCTCTTCCTACTGCTGGTTCAAATTCAGCTTTTTCAAGTTTTAGTATTTTACCACACAGAATTAAAGTTGATTAAAATTGCCTTTTTTTTTACATAGATCAATATAAAAAGTCTAAAAATACCGCTACATACATTAAAAGCCGATATCTTGTTGATCATGGAAATTTGACTTATTCCACTTGACGTCACTCAGGGTACAAAAGTGTACAATAAAATGTTAATATAAAGTTAGTATAATTCATGTAAATAAAGTTTTTTAATTTAAGGATTCTCTTGAAATAACGTTTCAACAATCACACAGGTTTATTTTCAGCCATCAAAATGAAGGCAGCAGTGTGTATCATTGAAATTAAATGTTTTCTACAATGTCTTGTCCGACCACGTATTCACACCTGTTCAAGACAGTCACACTGCCGTCAGAGAGAAGTGTTCAAATGAGGGTCACTTTTCACCTACACACACCTAGCCAATGGCAGTGTACAGAGGGCGTGCATGTCAGGATGCCAGTTTCATAAAGTTTGAGGACATTGAAAAGTTGTGTTTGTGGGGGAGTTTCAGGCGCTGTTTGATCATCTGACCAGCACTTTGACCGAGGCATACTAACCCTGATTTAACTACTATGACATAAATTCAAGTATTAAACATTACAAAAGAGCATAACTCAGGAAATTAGGTAATGAAATATTTCACAACCGCAACATGTGGTGGGACTGTTGATCAGGGGTGTGGAATGTAAAAACGCTGGGAAACATGTTAAACCGCTGACAACAACCACTGCAAAAATGTGCCACTGCATTCATCAGTCAACACACTACACAGCGTAGAAAAGTGGGAATGTCACACAAGACACACAATGTACATTTTCATCTGACGCATTTATCCTAAGTGACTTACAATGGCTATATAGGTCAGAGGTCACACGCCTCTAGAGCAACTACGGGTTAAGTGTCTTGCTCAGGGAACCCGGTTCTCTCACACCAAAGACATGTGTCTTATCCACTGCTCCATCACCACCACCGCACAATGTAGGCTGAAAAGGAACAAGACCTTCGAACCTTTCTATGCTAGAAACATCTTTAACACAAAGTGTTTGTGCAATACGACACAGAATATGATAAAAAAGCTTCCATCCTCCGAGTCCTTACTGACTGCCTGCCGATAATGGACTAACTTCAAGACAGCAAAAGCCCATTTCAGCTGTGGTCTGTCTAAATAGTGGTGAGGCGCGCTTGCTGGCACAAAAAGTATTTCAAGGAGCTACTAAAAGGCTAATTCCATTTCAAGATAACATAAATGGATTTTATGTTTATAGTATGTTGTCACCTTTGGGTGTCTGAGATGAGACACCAAGCCCAGGCCCAGCCTCCCACGACGTAGGTCTTCTCATCAGAGCCACAACAAGCACCTGAGGGATGAAGAACAAGTCCATTAAGACACCGCTTCATGTTCAATTATACATCCAACATCAAATGACAGATTTATTGTCTTCACATGTTTCTCTAGTCTTTGCTTTTTTTTTTACTTGTGAATTACAGAATAGTTTTACATTTTCAAATAAAACAGGGCAACGAAATTTGCGTCTGGTTGTACTAACCCAACTGATGACGATGGGTCACAAGATATTGCTATTTTATAAGCAACCACTGCTTGTGACAACTTGAGTGACAAAACCACAGAGACACCAAATATCCATGTGCACTAATTAGGCTAATTATGAATAATTTAACTGCCTGCTGTACCCTGTTGGACACACCTGTGATTACAGAAGCCCACATATTCAAGAGTGCATGTTTACTGTGCTCGTAAATAACGGTTCTTAACGTGAAAGCCTTGCTCGCTTACGACGTTAAATTCTCAGTTCTTAGTAACGTTAAGCTGTGATTGACACATTTACACACAGTTGTGGTTTGTAGCATCAGCAGAAGACATTCATGAGTTATCGTGGTACAAGCAGGAGCGATATAACCGCGTTTTGCCAGATAACACCTGACATCTAACGTTACTAGCTAACGTTTGTAAGTTAAGCTAGCTGTAGTAACGGTAACGTCAACGTCCGTTCACCTTACCGGAGACCACCAGAGCTTCGTTCGGCCCCACAGTTAAGCAGCTCCCCATGTTGACTCAAGATACCAAAAACACCCTCACGTTAACGAACTGTTACTTCCTTTACAGAGTCGATGATACTGCTGTTGTTTACTCCAAATCTGAACGGTGGGAAAGAGTCTTCACCTCCCGCACAACGACAGCAACAACGCAGCCCCCGCCCCGCCTAACGACACCGCACTGACGTAACTCTCGAGAGACTGTCGAGGAGAGACCGTCACATCTTATAAAGGTCGATCAGTGGAGAAGCCAGCTCTATGTTGCCTGACCCTCGCCTCCTCGACGTTGACCTATATATTCACGATTTATTTTTGTTGCTATCTTTCCGGTTGCTCTGGTTTTTGTCACTATATTTTGAAAGACCACCGGAAGTGGTAGTACGATATTGGGGCTACATGGACGCTAATTTGACGAATTTTGCTTGTTGCAGTACCACACTATGACCACTAGAGGGGAGCAAACACTCATGCATCTAACACACTTCACCACCAAAAATTAAAATAATAATAATAAAAATATCAAACGCGAACACCGACATCATTATATTATAAACATTTGTAAAAGATTAAGATGTATGCGAAAGTAATCTGGCTTCAGTGATTTCTCCCAAGTTGTTTTTAGACATAGACTACAAGGAATTTGTTATGGCGACTATAGTTACAATAAACTTAAACAGACACCTATAGGCTATAATTATAAAAAAAAAACAATAAATAAGTAGGCTATACCTATAATGTGGTATGGAAATAAATAGTGTTTTTTAAGAATAATTCCAGTAAAAAGTCAACATGTAAACAGCAAATATAGCCAAATCATGGAGAATGCCTGGGTATATTTTTTATAAGTTGTATAATAAATGCTGTATTTCAGTTTCTTTTCATCAAATGCACAGTTAAAGTTGTAGTCAAGGGTAGAAGATATTCAGTTGCATTATAATCTGCATGATGATGGTTTTGATGGTGACATTGCCTTTGAAAATATACTTTATACTATAGGCAAGGATGAAAATATCATATTTTGCTTTATTGCATCTCCATTTACTTTGTAATGGTAGCATAAATAGGTTAATTTGGATAAATGGATTCATATTTCTTGTCTTCTGACATAACAAAGGAGACCAGAATTTTGCAATTATATGTTTAATGGTTGAGGAGTTACTCCTGAGTCTTTTTGGGTTATTTTAGGCGTTTTTCCTGGAAATAGGGGCAGATAGCTGGCAGCTTGTGAAGTGAGGAGGAAATTCATTATTTAGACGAAAATGTGAAACTAATCTTTAAACAATCTAGATAGCCTAAATTTTTGATGATGATGAACAACAACCACACAGCAAATTTACCAACTCTCACCTCTTGATGAAGAGACACACCCAGTTACCAAGATAGCCTTCACCTAAAACTGCCCAGCAATAAATCCGTCATGAAGGTTTCAGAGAGGTTTTGATTCAACTGTGGTCATTTTGAAGCAGCAGACTAAAAGAAAACTGCTTAAAGGACTGACACAGTCCGCATATGGAGATAAATCTGTGTGGGAGACCTGGAGCGCTTTCTGATCCACAGTCCTGAGCGCAGGCAGACTGGAGTCCTCGTTCATGGACCGCTGAGGTTTCGGTTTCGTTTCTGGTTCTGTCTCTCCGGGAGGCGCTGGCTGACGGTCACTTTGTGATGAAGGTATTGCAGCTCCGCCACCTCTCGCCAGAGAAATACAAAACGCAGCTTCAACCAAAGGCGACCGTCGGATGAAGTGTGAGTAAAGTGTGTTCAGATTTATTTTAAGAGTGTGTCACAGTTTGGATCCTGAAGTGTTTTCTCTTGTCTGGATCAGCTGCTCTATTGTTTTCATAAAAACGAAAAGAATGGGGAAGAGGAGTAATTATAGTGTCTTCCTTGTTGCAGCACCCTTTTTTATTTCTTTACAGCCTTCAGGCGTGTATTACGTTTTCATTAATTAATAAACTAAGCCTTTATTTTACCTCTGAAGATGTTATGATTTAGTGTGAAACTACCTTCTTTTTGTATGTGTGCATCACATCTGTCCACTGGAAAGTCTGAAGTTAAGTTAATAAAGTAGAAAAAGTTCCACATTTTAGTAAATAAATACCCTATTTGCTTTCTTGCTGAGAGTTAGATGTGAAGATTGTGTGAACTCAAATGGTCTGATAACTTTCTTACAGTGGTGGAATTTAACCACATTTACTCTGGTAGGGGAAACTGGTGCGGTGAAGCTAGTGCGTTCAAAATATGATACAAACTAGTTTTATGGGTCTGCAATTAAATGGTGTAACTGTTATCTCTTTTTTTTTGTATGTGTGCATCAGATCTGTCCACTACATTTATTTGACACCTTTAAATTTTCAAATTAGCTTTATTGGCATGAATGTATAGCAACAATATTGCCAAAGCTACACATAAATTAGGTCAAGGTCAAAGTTTATTTATATAGCACGTTTACAAACAGTCACTACTGCCCCAAAGTGCTGTACAGATACAGAGAACAGCATAAGATAAAAAGCATAATAAATAGCCAAATAAAACCCTTCTAAAACAGAATATGCCAAAAACAATAACAACAGATAAAAACTATACTTAAAGCAATAACAACAATAAAATGTCACAGCTCAGCATGTGTTAAAAGCCAGTGCAAAAAGATGTGTTTTTAATAGTGATTTAAAGCTCTCAATAGAGGTAGCTGCTCTAATGTTGAGAGGAAGAGAGTTCCAGAGGACCTGCTACTGAAAAAGCTTTGTCCCCTCATTTTTTTTTTTTTTTTTTTGATTTTTATTTAGAAGGGACCATGTGCAATTAATAACATAAATGTAAACATTTGATGCATTACACCAGAGTTAGCCTTAGGCTAATTTACATCTGCAGTCCCCTCTGGTTTTCAGTCTGGACCTTGGACAGTCTAAAAGCAACTGGTCAGTGGACCTAAGTGCTCTGACTGGAGTGTGCAAAATCAGCATGTCAGATAAATACGATGGTGCCAGCCCATTAAGAGATTTAAAAACAAACAATAAGATCTTAAAATGGATTCTAAAAACAACAGGCAGCCAGTGGAGAGAAACTGGAGAGAAATTACATAAAGACAATTAATATCATACATTTAATTAAATAAGGAAATAAAACAGTAAAAGTTGTGTTTGTGTGCATTAATAAAAAATAAAATAATAATAATAAAAAAAATATATAAACGTAAAAATAATTATTAAAATAAATAAATACATATAACAATAAGCAAGTGTGTGTGTGTGTTTAAAAAAAGTAAAAAAATATTAAAATTTAAAAAAATTTATGCAGAAATCAAAGGGTTCACATACTTTTGCGACTGTAAAAAAAGGATCTGAAACACGACTGTGTCTGTACAAAACCCACCTTTAAAGTCCACTAATTAACATTTTGTATATTGTTATTTTAATCCATAAGAAAAAGTGTTTTATGGGTTTTAGTTTTTCTTCTGGACTATTTCTTGGTCAGGACTAATCGCCAGGCAACAAGCGCAGAGTCCAGGAAGTTACTGGTGCCAGACAGGAAATAGTCCAGCACATTACAGCCAATGGTTTCTACACTTGAGAGGGGTGTCAAGCTTCTCATCTAACTCTTGGCAGTAAAGCAAATGAGTGTATTTACCAAAATGTCGAACTTTAACCTCTAACCACCTCTCCTCAGGGTGCTGTCAGGATGCAGAGGGGTTTCCAGTTGGGCCTGCTGCTTCTGGCCGTCCAGCTGTTCCAGGAGGGTCTGGGCAACATCCCAGCAGTCACCCTGGCTGTCCTGGGATTCAATGTGTATCTTTACATGTTCCCTGCTGCTCCGCTGATGAAGGTAATTCATCACTGAAACACTAGGAGCATCTCTACTGCTACTCACTCTGCCACTGGACTCTTGAGTTGTCAATTCAAAAACAACAATTTGTCATTTTCACGGGAGGTTATGTGCTGGACTTTTTCTTGGAGCCTCCTCTGTTTGCATGGCGACTGGTCCTGACCTAGAAATAGTCAAACACATAACCCAGCCTAAAACAGAAGACAATTTTACACTTTGATTATTGTTTAGATTAAAGAAACAGGATATAGGGCGTGAGGTGCTCCTAGGTGGATTTTGTTATCGTTGGACAGAGACATGTTGTTTCCCCTTTTTGCAGTCTTTGTGCTAAGCTAAGCTAAATCCTTAAATATTTGATGGACAAATATGAGCATGTTATTGATCTTCTCATCTGACACTCTACCAGAAAGAGGTTATGAGTGTATTTCTTCACACCGCAAGAATACTCCACTACTCAGGATTTTACTAGTTAAAAGTATCAAAAGTATAACTAATGTCACCTGTCAGTGTTTTTTGAATCATTATTATTGATGCATTAACATGAAAGCAGCAATGTTGTGGCAGGTTAGGGTGGAGCTCACTCATCCTATTAAGCAACAATTCTTCTAAAGCTGCAATTTACGATTATTTTCATTGTCCTCTAAACTGTTGATTATTTTCTCAATTAATCGATAAAGTGTTTGGTCAATAAAATGTTTTCCAAAGCCCATGATAACTTCCTCAAATATCTTGTTTTGTCCGCAGCCCAAATATATATTCAGTTTACAGTGATAGAGGAGTAAAGAAACCAGAAGATATTCACATTTAAATCAAAAAATTTCTCAAACTGGTTAATTGATTATCAAAATAGTTGCCGATTCATATAATAGTTGACAACTAATGGATTAAACGTTGCAGCTCTAAATTCATCATATTTTATAAACTCATTGTATAGAATCTGAATCTGCAAAATAACTCCAGCTGTCAGATTAGTGGCACATATAAAGTACAATATTTCCCACGGAAATGTAGTAGAATAGAGAGTAGAAGTATAACATTGAAGTATAGTACAAATACCTGGAATTTGTCAGTACAGTGCTTGAGTAAATGTACCACTGATTATAGTAAAATTACTCCTTTCTGTCCATCCAATCGTCAGGCCTGTGTGAGCCTCCAGTATGTGTACAGGGATAAAGACTGGCGTCGCCTCTTCCTCTCCCCCCCTGCACCACGTCGATGACTGGCATCTCTACTTCAACATGGTGTCCTTCCTCTGGAAAGGTATCAGGCTGGAGCGCCGTCTGGGCGGAGGCTGGTTCCTCTACCTGCTGTCAGTCTTCTCTCTGCTCACCGGATTGGTCTATCTGCTGCTGCAGGCGGCGCTGACAACCCTCATGAAAGACTCTGATCTGTTAGCAGGATTCATAGACGTGTCATCGCACAGTAGGGAGTGTGCTGTCGGCTTCTCAGGTGCAAACTACCTCCGGTGTTGTTGTTTTAACAACTGAACAAAGAAGGTATTTCTGTAGAGTTTTTCAAAGCCAAGTCACAAATTAGTCGACTAATCAGTTAGTTGATTGACACCAAAAGACGCCTAAAATTTTCTGTTTTCAACTTCTAAAATGTGAATATTTGCTGAACAAAACAAACCAAAAATGTCAACTTGTGCTCTGGTGAATTGTGATTATGCATTTTTCCCTTAGAGATCAACATTTTATAGACTTTTATAAATGTCTGACATTTTATAAAGTGATTAATCAATTAATCAAGAAAGTCAATGTCAGAAAAATTATTTTCAGTTGCAGCATTAAAACAAAAAAAGTTTCACATGATAAAAATACATCTTATCTTCCTCTTAAATATCTTATGTTTTTGTGATGCTGTTGAATTTGATGCCAAGTTTATGAAGCTCTTCAATATAACTGTGTTTCTAGGTGTCCTGTTCGCTCTGAAGGTGGTCACTAACCATTATAACCCAGGTGGCGTCACGTTCGTGTTGAATATTCGTGTGTCCAACCGCTTCGCTAGCTGGGTGGAGCTGGTGCTGATCTATCTAATTGCTCCGGGGTGAGATACTTTGGCAATTAAAGACATAACTCTGAGCAGGTTCTGAGTATGTAATCTGTTCACACTTTAGCACCACATTCAGGTTAATTCATTCATTAATTATAATACAGAAAGATTCACAGGTGATCAACACAGAACAGGAACAGGAACGTCTTAGAAATCAAAGTAATGCATATTGAGAAAAATAGCTGGCCTTTTCTTTGTTAAGTTTCCAAATGTTCGCAGTAGCCCCTACGTCACAGTACAGTAATTACACTGATTAGTTTACTGATTAACGTAGTGTATTTTTTATCTGTGCTTTAGGACTTCTTTGATTGGCCACCTGGCAGGTATCCTGGTGGGTTTGCTCTACACTGTGGGTCCACTGGAGACCATCATGAAAACAAGTGCAGGTCTGAATGTGTGTGTTGCTTTCTAGACCGTTTATATACGGTAAATGTTTGTGTTGAATGAGTTTCTTAATTTCTAAGAGTGGACAAGAGTGGCTAACGATAAGCAGTGCATGTTAACAATTCTTCCACTATTCTCTGAAATCTGTTTCTTTTTTCCCTGTCAGAGTTTGTGTCTTCAGATGGAAATAATCCTTGGCCAAGTTCATACTTCAACTCTTCAGGTACAAA